TTTGTATTACTTCCAGCAGGAAATCATTGCATGGTTTTAAATTCAGCTTCTAGCCATTTCAGAAACCTGTGAACTATGATAATGTATAAATCTATAGCGAAAAACCAAAGGAATATACTTGAAGAGGATTGTTTGGTGTCTGACATTACCTTGAGACCCACTACTGACTATATTTTTTGCAATGATAAAGTTGTAGTACCTCAGTTGAACATCTTATTGGAACAGTCCCTTCTTGGATACATCTAAGTAATTGTTTTAGCATCCTTTAAGTCAAAGTCAACTACCTGTAATTTTAAAGCTACTGTTCTCTTGCAGATGCCTCTTTTCAGCAATCGCTATGTTACAGCTACTTATTTTTCTTTGATCACCAGTAATCTGAACTTACAAGAAATGTCCAAGATGCATACTGCAATTAAGTTTTCCCATTTCTGCTGCTTTCCCACCTTTTCAGTGTCTTCCCTTTAATTAACACTCCTTAATACCATGAAAAGAATGATGATACACTTATAACCAACTCCATACTGACAAGACTGTGGAGTTTTAAGACTGCTCAAGATACAGTTTTTTTTAATTTTGAAGCCTCGAGTCATTTTTATAGCAAACAATAATTACAAGTTCACTTGCATATAAATACATTTCTTACAAGAGAAATATAGAATTTGATTCACCTTTTTGATATCTTCATGCTCATAGATACTTGGGGCCAATGCTGAAGAAAGTCTCTCATATATGTCTGGTTTCTTAGAAAGCTCTTTTAGCATTTCCACACGTTCCTCTGTAAATATTTTTTGCTCCGTTTCCTCATCAACACCATGCAGGCGTTTTGCATCTGTCTTGCGATAGTGTATGACATCAATGTGGGTCTTATAGACGGATTTTACATTGCTGACCCTTGGATTAACTCGAATTGGGACTGCTCTGTAGATACCTAAATACAATTTTTAATCACAGCATTAGATAGGAAGAAACGTGATAATTCCAAAACCTGAAAATTTTACATTTTCCTTTGAAAAGCTTTTCAAAACAGCCTGAATACTTTAGTCAGTTTATTTCCCAGTACCAGTAAGTCATGTAGAAGTCAGTGGAACCTATTTAAGTCATCTAGACCCTATTTTTGCAGGTACATTCACATTTAACATTTCTATCACAAGTGTTCTCAATAAGGAAAATGCTTAAGGATTTTTGAAAAAAGTTACAGCTTGATGCTTTTGAAAGTCCTGCTCTGATGTCTGAAGTCAGCATTTCCCCCTTTTATAAGTGCCAAGTTTAATAATAGATTTCTAGTGCATCTCTAACACCTAGCAGGTACAGCAGTTGTTTTAAAGCAAAGTGGTTTATAAAATGTCATTGCAGTTATCACGAGACTTACTCTGTTACCACTCTCCTGACAGCAGACACTATTTAAGATACAGCTTCTTCCTCACCTACCTCCTCAGAATGACTGAATCGTCAAGGTCAGAAGGGACCTCTGGAGATTGTCTCATCCAACCATGGGGTCAAAACTGGAGTCAACTGGAACAAGTTGCTAAAGGCCACGCCCAGTCAGGTTTTGAGTATCTCCAAGGATGGAGCCACACAGCCTCTCCAGGCAACCTGTGCCAGAGCTTGACCACTCAGCAAACAACTGAAGTTTTCCTATGTTTAACTGGAATTTCCTTCATTTCAGCTTGTGCCCACTGCCTCAGGTCCTGTCACTCCGCAGAAGAGTGTGGTGTTGTCTTCTCAACTCAACGCTACCCCTAGACCCTATTTTTGCAGGTACATTCACATTTAACATTTCTATCACAAGTGTTCTCAATAAGGAAAATGCTTAAGGATTTTTGAAAAAAGTTACAGCTTGATGCTTTTGAAAGTCCTGCTCTGATGTCTGAAGTCAGCATTTCCCCCTTTTATAAGTGCCAAGTTTAATAATAGATTTCTAGTGCATCTCTAACACCTAGCAGGTACAGCAGTTGTTTTAAAGCAAAGTGGTTTATAAAATGTCATTGCAGTTATCACGAGACTTACTCTGTTACCACTCTCCTGACAGCAGACACTATTTAAGATACAGCTTCTTCCTCACCTACCTCCTCAGAATGACTGAATCGTCAAGGTCAGAAGGGACCTCTGGAGATTGTCTCATCCAACCATGGGGTCAAAACTGGAGTCAACTGGAACAAGTTGCTAAAGGCCACGCCCAGTCAGGTTTTGAGTATCTCCAAGGATGGAGCCACACAGCCTCTCCAGGCAACCTGTGCCAGAGCTTGACCACTCAGCAAACAACTGAAGTTTTCCTATGTTTAACTGGAATTTCCTTCATTTCAGCTTGTGCCCACTGCCTCAGGTCCTGTCACTGGGTACCACTGAAGAGTGTGGCTCTGTCTTCTTAACGCTACCCCACCCCCCAGATCAGGTATTTATAAACACACTGGTAAAATCCTCCTGAACATTCTCTTCTCCAGGCTGAGCAGTCCCAGCTTTCTCAGCCTTTCTATATATAACAGAGTATCCAGTTATCATCATGGCCCTTTGCTGAATTCAATCCAGTACGTTCATGTCTCCCTTGTACTGGGGAGCCCAGAACTGGACCCAGTACTCCAGTGTGGCCTCACCAGTGCTGAATAGAGGGGAAAGAATCACCTCCCTTGACCTGCTGGCAACACTCCTCCTAATGCAGCCCAGGAGGCTGTTGGCTGAATGGCAACACAATCATCTGGTCTATCAAGCACTGCTTCCTTCCAGGTTCACTTTTGTCTCCAACTTTGACAAGGACGCACTTGACATCACCCAGGTCATCAGTGAAGATCTCCAACAGTGTTTGGCCCCAGCATTGACCCTTGGGGTACACCCGTGGTGATCAGCCTCTGGCTGGACTTTGTGCGTCACAATGCTTTGAGCCCAGCAGTTCTGCCAGTTTTAAATCCATCTCACTGTCCACTTAGCTAACCCATACACCATCAGTTTGCGTATGAGGATGTTGTGGGAGACAGCGATGAAAGCCTTGCTAAAGTCAAGATAAGCAACATCCACTGCTCTGGTCATCCCATTGTAGAAGGTTGTTAACCACTGTAAATCCATGCTGACAACGCCCAATCACCTTCTTGTCCTTCATACAGTCAGAAATGGTTTCCAGGATTATTTGCTGTGTCACCTTCCTGGGGCCAAGATGAGGTTGACTGACCTGTAGTTCCCCAGGTCTCCTCGCCCCAGGAGTGACATTGGCTTTCTTCCCATATCTTAACCAGTCACCACGACTTTTCAAAGATAACTGAGTGCCCTTGCAAAGACAGTGCCAGCCCCCTCAGCACTTGCAGGTGCATCCCATCAGGTCCCTTTATAGACAGTTAAGATCAGTGAAAAAGGAGGATGTAAATACTCAAACCAATCTTACCTGTGACATTAACTCTATCACCTGGCTGAACTTTATCAACAAGGTCATTGTGAGCAAACAGCACAACTGTATGAGGGGTCTGTCCAGCTGGCATATCTTCAGGAGACTCCTGCAGTTTGATCTAGCAAAAACACTGAGGTTTTAGTTTCAAAAAACCAAAGCTTTTCCACAGAACATTCAAGAGATCTTGTATTGGCAGTATTCAACAACAGTTTGAATTGGGAATGTTGCTCAAGAACAAAATACCCCCACCCAAACAGCAAAACTGATTACTAATAAAAAGATATGATGAAAATGAGAATTCTGCTGGTTGCTACTGGTACGACTGAAATGCTGTTACAGACAAGGCTCATCTAGTCCAGACAGAAGTGGACATACTATATATAAAGGGGCTTCCATATGGAAACATCAAGATGCGTGCATACTTCATTTCATCCTTTTAATGCTTTTCTTCTCCAAAGTACCCTTTTGCTAAGTTGTTCCACCCATTTTTGTGGTCCAAAACACGTTTCCCTTTTCAAAACGTTCAGTCTCAAGATACGTACATTAATGCTATTGATATTAGGAGGCTGGGGGAGCAAAAACTAGGAACTGTTTCATTTTAGCCACCACCTAAATGCAACGTACCATCTGTTTGTCAGAGAACATGGATCGATTGTGAATCAGTGCCATACTGTGCGTTGTGTTACAGTTCTTGCATACTGATGGTTCAGCAATCCTGCCACGATCAATTTCTACTCTGGTGGTGAAAGAGCAAACCTGGCATTTAAAGAACGCTTCTTGCATCTCAGGAATTAACTGGGAGCTTCTGATGACCATACCACTGATAGTGATCAGTTGATCAATATCTACAAAACAGAGACTTGTGTCATCACTTCATACTCTTAAAATTTAAAATAACCTTCAAATTTCACGTTATGTTAGTTTTCAGGTGGGAGGCAGACATGTCATTAGGTACTAGTATTTAGTCTAAGACAAAGCAAAAATAATCATAAATGTATAGTACAAATATTCTAATTTACAGAAGTATTTATACAAAAGAAAGAATCTTTCACACTTGCAGAACTAAGAACATGAGTAGCTGATGCCAGGCAAGATTTCCTTTATGAGTAGATTATTCTGCATTTGGGCTCTAAAGCATTTGCTTCTGAGAGACTTACATAAACAAGACATTGGTCTGGATGGACCACAGTACAGTTTTATATGGTCTTCATGTAATTCTATGTTAACATTCAGTAAGTTTATCTAAATCCTTAAGATTCTTTTTCTAACATGGTAATCAAAAGTTTACCTTCAGGGTTGAGGCTTCTCATATTCCTAGTCTTCAGTGCATTATATGGCCTTACTTGAATCTGATGTTCCAATATTGAGTCAGGGTAACGATCAAAAAAGATCTCATTGGCAGCCATGTCAAATGTTGGGATAACCTCCTGTATAAAATTGTTAGAAACAGTTAAAAAGAAAAAAAAAAAAAAAATCATAGAACGACATATTTTTGCATAAAGCATTTTATGTGGTGCTGATCAGCCAGCAATGATTAAAAGTTATCCCAGCTGAGCATTTTCCTACATAACAGGAATCTTACTGTTTAGATGAAGTTTATTCATTTGAGTATTGCAAAGGCAAAAAAAAAAAAGTACAAGACTCCAGACATTGCAGTTTGCCAGCTAATTTTGCCTGTATGTGGTACCCACGGTAGTATCTACCATCAGGTTTTAACTACTATGAAACAAGATATTTTATATTAAGTAAAATAAAGAAGCCAGAGATTACACTGAACATAAAGTACACATTGCATTTAAACAAACATATTAAAAGCCAGAAATACAAAAGGGCCACTTGAAAGCCAGAAAACACGTGCGCTACTTCACCTGAGGATAGCAGATCAGTTGCCTGTAAAGATTTTCATCAAATGACCTCAGGTGGTCACAATTTACATTCAGGAATGGTTCCCCAACCACATTAATCTGCAAGATATTTCAAAAAGAAATCTTTAGCTCAATGGCATGCAAGACTAAAAAAAGAAAAGTTAGATTTCGCTGTGTTACAAGTACCTCTTCAAGTCGTTGCATATAGCGTGGCTCGTTAAGATCCAAGCCAATGTCTTCATCCTCTTTAGCGAGCGGATCAATGAAACGCTGAAGAAATCTCTGAATGTCAGAGGTAACAGGATGACAGAAGGGAAGGACGAACAGAAATTAGAAGTACAAACACCTACTTTGTATTAGATGCAATTAATGTTTGTTTAAATCAAACTAGCTTTTCATTTAAAAAAGGAAAAAAGAAGTTGTTAATCTACCTGGAATTTTTCTTTGCACGAGGCTACGTTAACATCTGTTCCCCAAATCACAAGCTTTTGTCCAAGAGATTGCTCGGTTGCTACTACATCCTCAGCCAGCTGCGTGGAAACAAATGAAGCATACGCAAATACGCGTATAGTTGTTTAAAAAGAAGTTGTCGGGTACAAAATCCGAGACATCCACCTACCCCATCCGAATGTAAATCAACTTGTCTGGCCTTACGGACAGACCCGAGATCCGGCCTCTGCCTAACCGGAGTTCCTCGTACACCGCTCCGCGGAGTACCCTCTACCCTGGAGCTGGGCGTGCCGTAAGTCAGAGGGGAACTGATATCGAAGTCAAGAGGAATAGCTGTAAAAAAAAGTGTTGTATTATGATTATCAAGACATCCTACATTCAGAGCAGAGTAAAATTCAGCCTTCTGCATTTGTCTCATCATTCTTTTAACTCTACTGTCATGAGCAGCATCAACCAAGTCCACTGTTTTGTTAAAACAGAAACAATAAAGATGTTGCAAGTCTACCTAGAGCTTTTCTTTGCACTAACATCTCTTCTCAAAGATCCCAAGTTCTACTAAAGCTTCGCTAGAAAACTTTAAAGCGGTAGTGCATTTTAAAACTACATTGGTGTTCAAGCATGAAGACTCAAAATGTAGCACTGTAGGTCAAACACATTTTTCAGTATTTTTCGGGCTGTAAAACACGTGACACAACAATTACCAGCTACTGCAATGAAGAACAATCCAATTTGTAAAAGCAAGAAAGGCTTTTTACGGCAGTCAAGCTAATTCCCCCCGCATTAAGGATTCTATTATTTTATTCTTTCTGGAAAGAAATAAAAGAAGGCGGCATGATCCCCGATACGTGCTCCCACGACAATCTGAAGCTGCAACAGCAGATCCGCACCCCGACACCGACTACGTTCCTCTGCCGTTCGCCACGCTAAACTCAAAGGAGAAACTTGAGGCCAACCCCCTTCCTTCCTAGCGCGTTTTCCAGCCGGACCCGTTCGCCGGGCGGCCCCCCGGGGCGGCGCAGGGCGGCGCGGCCGCCCGCCCCCAGCG